GTACCACGCAGGAGGACCGGCCTGAGCAAAGGCGTGGGACAGCCTGGGCTGCTGGGCAGGCCACGGCGGGACAGCTGCCGTGGCCGGAGCTTAGACGGGGCAGACGGCGACGTAGAGGGCGGACACACGGGTCGGGTGGCACGGCCCAGCTTCCAGCAGGCCTTGGCTGCCGGGGACCGGAGGCTTCATTCACCGGGCAGTGGGCAACCTGGCAGGGAACGCAGTGATGCTGCTGTCCGTCGGAGGAAGCCCCAGGCCCCCTGGCAGCTGGGAGGGAGCCGGGGCCGGGGCGGCAGCGTGGACAGAAGCTTGGAAAAGTCCTTCCTGGAGGCAAGAACGATGTGTCACTTCAGCGAACGGACTTGAGGATTTGAGAAGCCGCTGTTTGCCAGGCGCGGCACTGGGGGGCCGGCTGCCGAAGGCGTGGTTTGTTCCCCAAGGGAGCTGCTGGTCACTTAGAAGGAGGCGTCCACTCCAGAAGCAATGATCGTGATCAGACAGGAGCCGTTTAAGGGACAGGCAGATGCCCGGGCTGGAAATCACAAGGCGGGGTCCTGGCTGGACCTGGCGGAGGGTTGGCAGTCGCTGAGCGGGGAGGACGAGCGAACAGGAGGCTGGGGGGCCGTGAAGTGAACGACGATGACCCCGGGCAGGTGAGGTCGAGGGCCCAGCGGGACCGCCAAGCCGAGGGTCCGTGTGCGTAGTTGAGTCTGGGGCTCAAGAGAGAGGCCAGAGCTGGAAGGACCCAGAGGTGCTCCTGGCTCTCAAGATGGGGAGCCCTGCAAAGAGGGGTGCAGAGTGAGGCCACCAGGGACCCCACCGAGAAACCTGAGCAGCCAGGGGCATCCTAGGGGATGAGTACGTTTCTACAAAGAGACTGTGGTCGGTGGGTTCCTGTCCTACCTGGAAATTAAAGACAGGGACACAACTGAGGAGTTGGCTCACGTGGAGCAGGGCGCCAGGTGTAGTACAGGTGAGGACAACTCACAGGGGTCCCGCAAAGGGAGCCGGGCGCGTGGGTGCGGCTCTTGCGGGACGTTTCAAAGGGAGATGCTAAGAGATGGGAGGCCGAGGGCAGGGGCGCCGTGTGGACCAGCGGGGTGACGGCCTTTCCACGCCGAGCGGGGAGAATCTAGGAAGAAGAGGGTCCCGGTCA